CAGCACCTGCACTAAACTTAGATACTGTTCATGGGTTTTGGAGAATTTATCGACAACTTTGCATTAATGAATCATAGATTTGTCCATAATGTTTTGATGAGTGCAATGTTTTAATCAATGAATATGTGACTCTCCATGATATATCATGATTTTGTAAATGAATGTTAGATAATGATCAATAAAATATTTGTTTTAGTACTGGTATCTCTGGAAGATTTTAGAAAAAAAAAATCAAGCATAAATGATGTTTAAAATGGTCCTGACTTGAGATTTCAAAATTCTTCAAAAGATGTAAAGGTGTGATATTCTGATGCAACTGTGATGCTTAGATGTACCACTGAGGTTTGAATGAGAAAAATTTAAATAAGAACTTTATTATACAATTTCTTATAGCTTTATGATAGCTCATGATAACCTTATAAGTTAGAGCACACATTTGAAATACAGTTGCATATGCACAATAAGCTTAAATAGATTATCTCTGCAACTGACAGTTTAATTTTATTACTAGAAGCATATTATATTAATTATAATTAAAATTTTTCCTGAAAGGTTTCAATTATACTAATTTTTAAATATGGAATTTAAATATAATTGACCAAAAATCATAAAATATTTGTTACTTCTGTTGTTTGATTTCTGTGTAATATTAAAAATAAGAAAACCAAGGGAAATAAGTTACCACAGACCTACACATCTATTTGGTTAATAAACACCGAGGTATTTTATATTGCTAACAGAAGTGGAATCTGGAAATAACTTATCTGAAGAGAAAAAGCAATATACAAAAGGTAGCGTTAGGAAAATTACCTTTTCCATTTTCAGGTTTACTAAAGCTAGTGATGACTAAATATCATTATCAAAAGTTGATGGGTTAGAAACAGAGACAACAGGATTTGTTGTCTCTATTATTTTCCTACTTGCTTAAGTCCACTATATAAATTATTATTTCAAAGGCCAATCTTGTTGGCAGCTTTAAACAGAGAAGTCACAAACCAAGAGACTTTCACTATCCCTCATTTAATCTGACCAGCATTGAATCACCAGATGTGTGATGGAGCATTGTGTTTTGTTTTATTTTTATATTATTTTGCCAGGATATACAGTGTGAGGCAAATGTTCATATGAAAAATAATACAATAATTCATAAATAATAATACAAGAATAAACTCTGCATTACATACTCAGATATATATATATATATATATATATATATATCCCCTATATGTTTCATTTTACCTGTGAGGAAATTTTTATAAGCTTCATTCTGCATTATTACATAAATACTTGAGGTATCCATGAAAACTTTTTATGGGACTCAAAAGATTATATATAATTTAAAATATGAATACTATTTTACATTAAAAATTAATTTGTTATAAGCCATAACATGTAGATTGCAAGGGTTGGTTTTATCAATTAATAAATATAAATATGATGTTTCATTATATATATATATAATTTCCATATTTATATATTCATACATATGTGAATATATGTTGTGCTTTGATATAAGTAAAAAGAATCTCTGAAATTTATCAACTGCAAGAAATAATAAATCAATCATATTAATTAGATTTTAAAGTGATCATAATACATGAACAATGGCAAATAAAAATTCTGCAAATTTTACTACATAATTTTTAACTTAATGTAATCTTCTAGTATCAGAAAAATATGTATGATAATTTTGATTTAACTAATAATATTATTCTTAAAGAAACTACTTGACTCTGGGTAAAATAGCTTTACAAAGTATGAAAAGAAAGACATTAAAATGTCTACCATCTATTTATGTACTATTTACTAAGTCTTCCCTACAAAGGTGAAGCTAAAGACACTGATTTAACCTCTGGACCCACATGATCACCATCACATTGAGCCTTGCATGTGTCTTTGATTTCTACTAAAGCTGAAGCACACAATGTCCTGGGAAAGCTCATTACACTGAGTGATGGAACATTTGTCATTTGTTTAAAACCCCAAACCTAATTTATTTCCTTGTGATTTCCATAGCTTCTTCTGAAGTCTTCATTGCACCACATATTCCAAAGGGAAGATTACATGATATTCTTGTATTTCATGAGGAAAGTGAAATTTGACTAGTTGTGCAAGGGAAATAAACTGTTATGCACCATTAAAAAAAGAAGCACTTTAACATTTAGCTCTATTGCATATCTTTAAGGAAGCAAAAGTATCTCTGGGTGAATGTTTCTTGAAGATAATTTGTAAGTGACTGCTGAGATTTACAGAGTTCTCACATTTGCTTCCCCCACAAGGATTCTAAATCAGATTGGTTCAGAGGAAAAGCCAGCATATCCCATTTTTTCCCCTAATATTATCACTTCTCCAGATGGCCCTCCAACATCTATTCAATTCCTTTTTCCTAGAAAGTAAAGAGGTGCCTTATTAGATATCTATGTACATCCACTGCAAATGCTGCCTTCTTGTTCTTCCTCTTCTTTCTCACTTAACATAACAAATCTCTTTCATCTCCTACCAGAAAGCAAGCACAGTGATTGCCTCAAACTTTGATTTGGCAACCTGAGCAATGAGAGAGTTAATGGTGGATCTTTGAAAACAGTGACATGGGAAATTAGAGTTGGCAGGAATTTAACTCTTCAAAAACCACGCTGGAAGATGTTTAAGGGCAATGCAGTGGGTGTTTTAACTATGTTTGACATCTAATTAAGGAGGAAAAAGAAGCAGCTAAAAATGTCTAGTTTAGTTTAGAAAGAAAGTATTTATAATTTGGCTACCAGATTTTTGCTTTGGCAAAACAAATGTACATGGAGAGACAGAAAGGTAATAACAGACCAATCAAATGACAAGAAAAATAGCTTGGGCCATTCCTTTTATTCCTCCTGCTGTTGTTCATTTCACAGTTTATTTTACCAAATTGACAAGTTCTGGGCATATCAATGGAATTGTTATGTAGCTGTAGGGTAGTTGTTTAGGTAAAGGAAAGCAAAATAATTATAATGGATACCATTGCTAAAAAGAGCTTATAAAGATAGTGTCAAATATATACAACTTATGAATACATACAGCTAACTTCATCAGACATCTTTAAAGCAGGTGTACATGACAAAGGTTTTTCTAATTAAATGCTTCCTTTTTAAAATGGAGAGTAATATGCTACCAGGTAAGATACTTGCAAAATAAATAAATATAACTCTCAATTCTTATTTATTTTATGATTTATTTAGTACTTGGACAAGCAACTGCAATTGTAATAGATCTTTTAAATGTATTTGATGTTTCAAACTTATTTTAAAATTATAACCTATAGCCATTCACTTCTTCAAGAAGTAGTTGCATGCAAAACTTACTTTATAAGGAATATAAACTTACATAAAGTGGACTATCAACCTGAGAATTAATTGATGACATCCTTTCAAAGAGTAAAAATAGAGAGCAAAAACTGATGCAAACATAGATGCCATAAAATCATATACCATAAACAATTTAAAGACAGCCACTAAATAGAGACACAATGGAGATTAATTTAATATTTAATGGAATCTATATGTTTTAATATTGTAAAAGAGTACAATTGCAATCACTTGCTCATGTTTAAAATGCCCTCACATTTTAATAAAGAAAATATATTTCCCAAGTAAGTATGTTTTATCTAACAAGTATTAAGTCCAAATAAACACATTTAATAGGTTCTAATTTCTAATCCAAAGTGTGAAAAATACATCCCCCTTTCCTATTTGTGGTCCTCTTTCACACCAGAGCATTCAGAGAGATCATCCCCATCATGTGAAAATTAAAGAATCTGGTTGCTGGCATAAGAACAATGTACAGTATATAGACATCTCTGCAAGAGAGAGTCAGTAAATTTGCTTCACAGTATAGGCTAAACACAGAATATAATTGAAGCTTCTCTCTGCCCCATCCCCCTGCTCTAGAAATCTGAGAATCATAAGAAAGCAACACCTTAGGGAGTAAAACTACCTGAGTTCAAACAGTTTCATCTTAAACTCCACTTTAACAATACCTCAGTTATATAAATATTTCCTTCCATTACAAGTCACATTCATTATTTTGGAATCCAACTTAGCATTATTTCACACAAATTTATAAAAAATTTACCTAAACAAATGTAGAACAACTATTTTTCTTTAAAAACCATCATTAAAAAACAGGCATGCACATTAAACTAGAACCAAATCAAGTGTTAGCAACCATGAGATAAAGCTTTTTCTTTCTTTCTTAAATTTATACTTTTTTTTTTTTTTTTTTACAAAAGAAGTTCACACTAGTTCTACAAGTAGGAAGTAGCCTGTCTTCATTTCTTACTGAAGTATGTATGGAATTAAACAACATTATATTCCAAAGACTCTGGCTGCACACCAATTAGCCAAATACACAGTCTTTTGTACAGTCATAACACCCTGTGGAAGAACTAGTCTGCTCTCTCCAGTTTATATTCTCTTGGCAAACCACGATCTACTGCTTATGTTAAGCATCTGATTGTCAGATTCGAACAAACTGAATATTCATGATGACGATTAACCATTTAGTGTCTAAAACTAAGAAAACACGATTTGTCATAACAATTCTTATAGGTGAGGCATGCATATCTAAAAAAAGGGACCATTTCCAACCCCCACCCCCCAATAGTAGTTTTATAGGTATTTTAAAAGAAGTAGGGTCAGAAAAATTAACAGAACACATGATCACATGGACAGATCAGCATTTCCCAGGCATTCAGCTCCTCTCTGCAAATGTGATTAAATGCTCTTTGTTTGCATTTAAATTGTCATCTCGGACAGGAGACGTGCTTTTATTTATTTGTTTGTTTAAAGTGCTTAAATCGTCTCAGAAAGACTCAGACAGGCGTCTAGGTTCCCCAGGTTAAACCAAAGGTTTTAAGGTTTGGGTTGGGAGGGAGTTCAAGGAATAAAAGTGGGGGAGAGGGAGAGGGTGACGGAGGGGGTATCACACAGAAAGCCAAAGAAAATAAAGAAAATAAAAAAACAGAGATTTACCTTTGTAGGATAATTTCAGCCTTGGCACATTGTTCTTCCCGTTCTGGTAGCTGGCTCTGGCGGTGAGCAGCACTCCCCAGAAGAGCCAGGCCACCTCAGTGAGCCAGCCCATGCTGCAGGCGCAGCAGGTCCTGGTGCAGCCTCGGGCTTCCCTCTGTATTGTGCGGCCGGAGGAGAAGTTCAAACAATCTGCAAACTGGAGGTAACAGGTGACCTGGGTCAGTTTCATTCATAAAAGCCCACAGGCAAGACTTCGCCGCAGCACTCACACCTCTTCTTCTGCAAGAGTCACTGCAGAAACTTCAAAACCTCCACCAAAAAGAAGAAGAAGAAGAAGAAGAAAAATCCAAGCCAGGCACCGGATAATGAGGCACAACTGTGGCGTGGAGAGAGAGAGAAGAGAGAGGGGGAAAATGAACCAGGGCTGCTGCAGTGGCGCTTAAGAAGCAGCTCCTTTTATCTGGGAGCCGGTGGCAGACTCTAATCCTGCTCCCTGCTTCATTCGGCACCGCACCGGGGAAGCAGAATGAAAGGGAAGCGATAGAGAGAGAGAGAGAGAGAGAGAGAGAGAGAGAGAGAGAGAGAGAGAGAGAGAGAGAGAGAGAGAGAGAGAGAGAGAGAGAGAGAGAGAGGAGAGAGAGAGAGAGAAGCCGTGAGCAGCCGGACTTTTCCTGTACACATGTAGGGAGGGATGACACAAGATCCCACAGACAGGTTTTCCCAACACTCCCTGGACCGGCTGACAATGGGAGAACAGGCGAGCTCAACCCACTCCCCTTCTTCCCTCCTGTCACACACACATGCAAAAAACATCTCCCGGAGATTACAGCCGGGAGCAGAGCCCTCCGGCGTGCCTGTGAAAGGCATGGAGCTATAAATTTACTTTCAGGGGCAAGGGTTGTTTTATAGCCATTTTAGGTGCAATTTTTTTTTGTTTTTGTTTTTTGTTTGTTTGTTTAAAAAAAACAACCCTGAATTCGGCTACCTACACAACATATAACTCATGCTCATGCTACCTACATAACGTATAATTCTGCTGAACTTGTGCATTCTCCGTGTTGTGTATATGGGTATGTAGAGATCTGCATATGTAGATGTGTGTGTCTGCATATGCTTCCATCAATATAACTTTAACCAGGGACGGTTTTAAAGGCTTGTTAGCGATCCTTCCCTCCTCCCGACAAGCACACTTGGCTCAGCCTTCCCGCTTCCCCGCCCCGCTGCAATCTCAGCAAAGAAATTCCTAGTAAAGCCCATTTCAACAATCAGTTCAAGACAAATATAGGTCCACGGAGAATTATAAATTACAACAGGGTATTCTCCGAAGGATAATCAGAGTTTAAAAAGAGCGAGGGTTTTCCAGCTCCTGGAATGCTCTGGCTAACATTTTTAATGCCTCACATCTCATTAATTAAAGCCACTTCCAGAGTTCTGGTGTAAAGGGCAGAGGACGATGACAAAGTTCACCAAAGTCCCTGCTGAGTATCAGGGACCAACCTACAGAGGATATCTCTGTGTCTTCATGAGCTGATGAGGGTTCCTAAATTTTCTGTGGACATGTGAATGTATGTATTCAGGCTGTCATACAACGTCATTAGTTCTTTCCTAAATAGGAATACTGTCTGAGGGGTTTACATTGCCTCTTCTATTTGTTTTTCTTTTAATTTCCCCCAAAGCTGATATTCTTATAAGATTTTGGCGAGTGTGATATCTAAAAGCTAAGAGGACAGATGTTTCCTTCTTTTCTCTTCACTCCCCAACTCTATCTGTCCCGCACTCTCCCCTCCTCCAAGCCACACCACATACACACTGGAAACACAGGAGAGAGGACTCTCCTTCAGTAACACAAAACTGTCCCAACTGAAAGAAGAGGGTGGTCTCACAATTTAATACATAAACACACATTGGAAGTGGTTTAGTAGTCTCATAAAAAATGGTCTGAGCATTGTCATGCAGCTTCCATTAGTTAATGTCTACAGACTAATAAAGAGCATCCTCTCTCTCTCTCTCTCTCTCTCTCTCTCTCTCTCTCTCTCTCTCTCTCTCTCTCTCTCTCTCCCCTCTCCCTCCCTTCCTCCCTCCCTCTGACTCTCTCTCTCTCTCTCTCTCTCTCTCTCTCTCTCTCTCTCTCTCTCTCTCTCTCTCTCTCTCTCTCTTTCTCTCTCTCTCTCTGTGTGTGTGTGTGTGTGTGTGTGTGTGTGTGTGTGTGTAGGTGGTTGAGGAGGAGGAAGAAAATGAAGAGGATTTGAAGGGAGGGAAATGGGGGGAGCGGATGAGGGATTCTTTTTCTACTTAACAAGTTGGATTGATTCATCAAACAGATCCATATTGTATTTGTCAGTTTCCACAAGCCTATTGATCAGTCAGTATTGTTCAGAAAATAAAATCCAAAAATAATGTTGATTTTACTGATTCCCACACTTGTTACCCTGAGCACCTTTCACGCTCCAGGCAATGGATTAAGGCTACAAATGACAAGAGGCTTGTCTGTCTTCCATGGATTACTCTCTATAGACATTCATTCTGCAGAGGAATTCATGCCACTTTGGCAGAATGGGACTAATGAATTATCCTATTGAAATCTCACAAGTAATCAGTCTAAATACCTTAAATGGTTATACCATTTTCATTAATATATATTTTAAATGTTTCAAAAATAGTCTTTCTCTAGTTCTTGTTACTTAGAGTAGGAGAGCAAGTTTATATTTGTCAAAACTTAACAGGATAAGCAAATTTAGAAATGTATCCATTTCACTAGCATAGACTAATCCTGACAAATAAAAGGTTGTAGGTAAAATTCAGTTAATAGAGGGTCAAAATTGATTCCATGGGGAAGAAAGACATTCAATCTGGATTTTGAACCACAAAATCAGGTCACTCTTATTTCATTTTATAAAACAAATAATTGAAACTAATGTTAAAGCTTGGAATTTGGTAACACAGACCAATAATAATAATAATAATAATAATAATAATAATAATAAATAATAATAAAACTTTGATATGATTACTTATATTTGACATTTGTCCTACTTTTCATTTTTATGATCCTTACATCCTTTCAGATGTTTGAATGTTTAATAAATTCACATTAACATTTACTTATCTGTATAATTTTTAATTAAAATGAAAAAAATCATAAATTCTTTAGGTAAGCATGACTGTCCTAGGATGATTAAATTATAAATTAGTAGAAAAGTATAAGTGTATCTAGAGGTTTTTACTGTGATTTAAAAAAAGAAAAGAAAAATACAAACTACATGACTATAAAATGCTTAACAAAAAGTATTAGGAATAGTATGTGTTTACCTCTTTCAGTCTTTTGACTTTGGTCAGAGTTAAATAAGGTCACTCTTATTTTCAACTCTTTATTTATTTATTTATTTTCTATAGCACCAATAGGTAAGGGATAATCAAGGTTAAACCTATTTCTGAACAGAGAGTGGTGGACCTAGGAGGGTGTTTATCAGAACTTACAAAATCTGGATGCACGTGTGGCATGGAGATTTTGATTCACCCTTCTCCCCACTCGACCCCCCCTCTGTGAATCTGTGGCCTAAGCCTTGCCATGATCCAGCCTGCTCAATTTGCCATCTCAGCCACTGATTTTGCAGGATTTACTTCTTTATAAAAGTCAAAAATATATAAATTGACCTCTTAATGTTGAATTTTATAATACTTAAATAATTAAAAGGGGAAATGTTATTTTGTTTCTTTCTCAAAGCAATCTCTCGATTTTTTTAAATTACATTATAACACACATCAGGTGATATTATTAAGTATATTTGCAACTGCATTTCTAATATCTCCTTAAGTTTCAAGTTTTCAGATATGACTAATTCCTATGCCAGAGTCAAATTTGAGCAGGTACTTAATATGATGATCATGCTGTTGTGTACATTTCTGTCAAATTAATCAATGGTTTTTAACTCACCCCATATTGAAATGAATTACACAGACAGCAGTTTTCTGTGTGGTTTGCTTGATTTCCTAGAGACATAACACTTCATTTTCACAACAGGTTAGTTAACTCTTGTATTTCAATAAAGAAACAAACTGTATAGTCAGAGAAGATATATATCGAACCATTTCTCCATTGGCAATGTATTTCTGATCTTTTGATGAATTACATAAAACCAATGTGTATATACTACCTTTAAAGGTTCACTCTCTAATTTCTCTTTGTTACAAAACAAATTGGGATAACAATCATTTCAATTTAAGAGCTGAAATTGTTTTTTCTAATTTGTGAGGTGCTCTTCCAAGTATTTCCCCATGTTACAGATACTCAGAATCTTTCTGTGAATGGTAGGTGAAAAGATTTGCTATATTTGTGTATAAAAGAATGTAGGGAAATATGTATAGTTTAGCTGTATCAAAAAGGTTTAGTGGATTAAATGTGCCTAAAGTTCTGGTGCACTTTATTAAACATCCTTGTCTTTCCCTGTGACCTCACTCCATCCCTGTTTTATTGTGGTCAGATACAGTAACACTCCCAATGCCTGTGCCACTGATAGAGGTAGGTGAGCTCTTTAAGATAAATTACTGACTTAAGACTTACAAAATGAGTTGGCTTTTCAGTTTTTCAAAAAACACCAGGGGGGAAAATACGAAAAATAAACAAAAACAAAAAAAATATATCAGTAATCTCTCTAAGATGTTCAGTTGAGTTATGTAAAAAATACAAAACTATATTTCTTTTTACCTAACATCTGTTATTTCCTTTTTCTTCTTCTTCAAGTGAGTGCTTCATTAGTATATGAGGAAGACTTATGATCAACAGAATTAAAGCAAATGTCATAGTCAAACACTTGTACTTGCTCTGATATCTCATGCCGGAAATTCATTTTTAATGAGGGTTTTCCAGTACAGGGGAATCTGAACCTTTTTTCTTTTAAAAAAGGATTGTGTGGGTGAAAACATTCTTTAGAAGATTAGAAGACATCCTATTAATTGGGAAAGTGAAATAGTTGATGTATTATTCGTTCCAGCCAAAATTGATAGCTATTTAAGATCTACAACAGTAGTCACTGGAAACTGGGGGTTGGTAGGTCAAAAGTAATATTTAAGAAATTGTTAAATTTTTCATAATCTGACTCTTGTGAATGCTTT